CGAAAATATATTCCAATATTAATTATAATAATTATTTTTATCTTATTTGGAATGTAAAACGTTAAAAAAGATTTTATGAATTCATTTCAACAGTTTAAATATATATACACATGATTGAGTCTTAGTAAATTTTCACAATTATTATTTAAATGCAATTTGAAGATTGAAATTGTAGCGTTCTTTTACTCGCATTTCAATTAGAAATTTCTTTTTAGTGAAAAAATTACTTTCGTTAATGAATATTTAACGAAAGTTAGTTATTCATTAATGAATATTTAACGAAAGTTAGTTATTCATTAATGAAACTTAACAAAATTAAATTTATTAAGAACTTAACAAAATTAAATTTATTAAGAACTTAACAAAATTAAGAATTAACTTAACAAAAACAATATGTGGAACTAAAATCTATGTATGGAAAAAAATCTAGTTCTTTTTACCATAATCTAAAGAATCTAAATAAAAAAAAAGAAACTAAATCTAAAAAGATTTAAAAACTAAATTTCAGCAAAAAAGTAATTTTGTTATCAGATTAATTTTACGAAATTAAAATAAATTACAATATTTAATTACATTTCATAGAATCCTAATTTGTTTCAAAATCAACTTTGGCAAATTTATAAATTTTAACATATTTTACACATTAATGTGTAAAATACGTAAAAATATTTTAAAAATATTTTCTTTGACTATTTTCTTATCATTATTTTGAAAGAAAAAAAAATTGGGGGGAGGGTTTCGTATTTTTCGCGATTTATTTCTCATTTTGTTTTAAAACAAATAGGATTTAAAAACATAATTTATTTATTTTGAAATACTAATAATTCAAGTTTCTTTTACATTTATGAAAAAAGAAAAATATATATCTAAAAGGGAACATTTTTTTTCCAAAACATTATTTTTCAATTAAGTTTTAGTTTGAAAATTGCTTATTTTACTTAGAAAATTTATTTGCTTTTTGCATTTAGATCAAAGAATGCTAGTGAGCAGATTAATTTTTACTTTAAATGCTTTCTAGAAAAAGAAAAACCAAATTACTAGTTGTTTTAAGTATAAGCAACTATGGAAAAATAGTTATATATTTACAATTTGAATTCATTGGTTTTACATTAGAGATATCTCTTTTACATTAGAGATATCTCTTTCACATACAAGATATCGTTTTCACCAAACATCAAGTGTTTCGAATAACTCATTTCAGTTATTTGTAGATAAAAGTATTTTCAGATTTTGTAAAATTTCGAGCACTTCCGAGTATAATTCAACCAGTTTTCAGAAAATTACACAATTTACGAACTTAACTTAATTTAACATAGAAGAAGCTTTAGGATAGGTGAGCTTCCATCAGTAAAGATGCATAACAAGATGAAGAGTTTTTCCGAGACTTTCAGAAAATTTTATCTAGCAACTGTATTTAACTTTCTTTTCCCTATTATTTTAAATTAAGGAGCATAATTAGAAAAAGACTATATAAATCATTAAAAAACCATGTATTTTTAAGTGGCTAATTAATAAAAAGAGTATGAGTTTGCTCTATTTTAAGATATTATACGATTGCAGTAGAAATTTGATTAGTATAATATATTTGTGGCATGAAATAAGGGTTGTAAGTTAAATAACTTTTGATGAGATAGATAGGTTAGAATACCATCCTATTTGAACATGTCTTATTGCATGAATAAAGAAGCAACTTTTTGGTGCAAAATCTATTTCAAACAATTTTTCAAGGTGAGTAGGTTTTTATGTTGTCATTTTCCTGTCTTCTTAAAATCATTAATAGCATGAATTACATAGATTTATATGAGTTATTTCAAGAAATCCTGTTGTTTTCTGCCGAATGTAAACGTCTTAGGTCAAAATGTTAAATTGAAGTTAAGTTATATGTCAGAAAATGGCAAATTTGTCATTGTCCTGGCTGTCATTTTCCTGGCTTATGAATCACAGGGTATTAACGTGTTACCATAAAATTTCATAAACAGTATACTGTAAAGAGGGAAAGCAAATATTAACCTAATACTAAGTTTATACAAGATTGTAATGTGCTTGGGTGTAATCAAAGTTATTTATTTATTTAATGATTGATTATTATACACAATTTTATTCTGTACGTATCAGCAACAAAAGATTTTTTGATTCTTTCTACAGTGGATGAAAGAATTAATTTAAGTAATTTATGGTCAATCTAACATAAAGGTTTAAGTTGAGTCACTTACTATTAGCTTAAAATCACTATTTTTTAAACTTCTAAGCTAATAATGTCATTTTCCTGGTATTCAAAATTTAGTGAATTTCTATTTTATTTTTTTTTCTTGAGAAAATGTCAAAAACTACACTGCTGTCTGTAAGATATTAATAAATGTAACTAAATAAATACACAAAAAAAATTTTAGATTATTTTGAAGACTGAATTTGAAGAAATGTTTTGTTCCGAATTTTCATATTTCCAAAGAATCACCCATATACCTATATTGCGCAAAAGCAGTCAAAACGGCTGGCTTGTAAAAGAATAAATAACGTGCAAAGAATTTTGTTTAAAATTATTTTTCAATATTTTTTATATTATTTACAGTTATATAACAAGTTATTAGTAAATAATAACAGTAAAAAAATTATATGTTGTACAAAATGCTAAGAAATTGTGTCATTATATACATCAATGTCTTTCAAATTGAAATTGAAAGCAGTCAAAATGACTTCCTTAGGCCATCTAGTGTTAAATTAATCCTTTACAGTTGCTATATAAAGCAATATATTTGAAAGCACCACTTACAAACTTTCAATTCTAGCTATTCAATGGGAAGCATATATACTGATCTTGGAAAGAATATGATCTCTGCATTATTGCATATGAATAAGCATATATCTTGGGAAGCATATGAATTGAAGATGCTCAGTTCTGTCTAGATCATGTAATATGCTGTAAACTATTATTTGAGATATTTTTAATTCTAGCTATTATTTTTTAATTCTAGCATTATTCTGGGAAGCAAATAAATTGAGGATTTTCAAATTATGAAACTATATATAATAATCTGGGAAGCATGAATTGAATGTTCTGCATTCTCGCTTCATCACGCATATCCTGGGAAACGTGAATTGAGAGAATTTATTATTGATTATATCTTGTAATGTGACTGGGAAGAGAATTAATTAAAAATATTCAATTCTTGATATATCATGCAATATTATGGGAAACATATGAATTGAAGTTTTTCAATTCTGCTTTATTACAAAACATACTGGGAAGCATGAGTGGTGTGTTTTTTTTTAATTCTCGCAACATCATATATTTTCTGGGAAACATGGATTCAAGGATTATTTTCCTGCTACATCATGCTATGTTCTAGCATGAAATGAAGGTGTTCAGTTTTTAACTTTCATACAATACAATAATTTATGAAAGATGATTAATTAAAGGTTAATTTAACTGTATATTCAAGAAAAGTAATATTATGGGAAACATATGAATTGATGTTTTTTTATTCTCGCTACATCATATAACTTTCTGGGAAACATGAATTCAAGGATTATTTACCAGCTATGTCATGTCATGTCCTTGAAAGCGTGAAATGAAGGTTTTTAACTTTCATAAATTACAATAATTTATTAAAGATGATTTATTAATGGTTAATTTAACTGTATATTTAAGAAAAAGCATTCTAAATGTATGAAATAAATTACACAGACTGGACTTAATTCACTTCGATGAAGTTCACGTATGATTTAGACATTAGTCTGCAGGTGTGAACTAATTAATTATTTAATTAAGTTTGTTCAAATTATAATTTCGTTTTTTTTCTCAGCAATATTATTTAAAAGATATTTTTGAGGTTTCATTATGAATGGATTAAAATAAATTATTTGTTTCACTATTGTAGATATTACTTTTTATCAATCGCATTTTATAAGAAGTGTTGACGCACGTTCAAATAGCATAATAAATATTTTTTTAATAAATTACAATATTCTAAGTAAAAATATTAAAATAATAGTAAATCTGTAAGTTACAGTATTTTAAAAATCGCAATTGTAACTATTCAATTTCCATTTTAATCTATTTTATAGCAATATGTATTTCCTGTTCAGATATTTTTGGGTTTGGATTAGTATAATAAAGTGATAGAATATCTCAAAACTAAATATGTTTTGCGTTTACTTCACTTTATAAAAAATTACTATAATTGTATAAACTGAACAGAACAAAAAATAACGCTTTTACAAAACCACTAAAAGTTTCTAAATTGTAATATTTTCAAAAGTTAATGTTTTTTTCCACAAATGTAATGTTTTTTTGCACTTATTCAATACTTTTATAAAAAGTAATACAACAAGCATCATTTTTTAAAATCAATTTTATTTCACAAATCATTCACACGTCGTTTGTTTCTGAATTGATTTTCGTTTTAACAATATCTTAATCAAAAGGTAATGTTCAAATGTTTTAGTAAAATGTAAATTTTTCTGAACAATTATCTTACTTTAATGCTTCTCTTTTTAAAAAATTTATTGCTTGTAAATGAAAAAATACTACTGATTTTTTACATTTAATGTAAATTCAATCTTGAAAATTTTTACGATGGTTTAATTTAAAAATTGTAATCTTAACAAAATCAATAACCTCTTTAAGAATCAACAATAATATTATAGTATTTCGAACACTTTTTTCCAAATTTCATCTAGTTATGAAACAAATCAAATAACCTCCCTATATGTAAGTTAATCCAATGCATGTAATTCTTATATTTTTTAAACCAAGTTGAAATAAGAAAATCAATCTAATTAAAAGCTTAAAAAATTCATTACAGTTTATTTTCATTCGTGAAGATCTTTTCAGGTTCATTAAAAAATAAATTTGCTGCAAACTTAATATCAACTATTGAGTGCGTCGAGTGAGTGTTATGTTTTTTGATATAAATAACTTTAACAATCAAATCTGCAATTTCCATATTAAAATGAAGTAAAAATTAAACAGTTTATGAACAAAAACGAAATGTACTCACCATCAGCTCGACACACATTTAAACATCCATAGATGATTAAGAAAAGAAGAATTTTCAGGTGATAAACAGGCATTTCCAAACGACTAGATGAGTAAAACAGCTAGAAGAATAACACGAAGAACCTGAAATAAAAAAATTATATTCAAAGGATACAGTTTGGTGATGATTCGTGGACAAATATTCCAATCTGTGTGATGATGATCGTAATAATTTCTCTCAAGTATCGTTTGATCACATTTAATTGGTTTGAGCGCTTTATCACAGATTCAAAAGCTTCCGTTTTCGTTGCACAATGCACTAATTTCGATAGAAATTCCGCTAACACTAATTTATCTTTACAATGAACAGCATATTCATTTGAAACAAAATATAATCTTATCATCATAAAACTTTGAGTAGAATATTTAGAAATATTTTTAGGAAAACTCTAATTCCGGTTAATTAAAACCGTTGAAAAATATGCATTCGTTTGATATTCGTTCCGGATAAAAACTATCGTTTGATTTACATGATAATTATCTTTTGATATTTCTTTCACATCGTGAATCGTTTGAGAATTTTATATGGAATTTTTCTTTCACAAAATAATCGTTTGATATGTTTCTCACAATCGTTTGCGAATTCCACTTGTATTTTTTCCTCTAAAAATTATCATTTGATATGTTTTTTTACACAATAACTGTTTAAAAATTTAACAAGAACTACTCTATTTTTCATTCCAGATAGATATGCTTCTAAATTTTAGCAGTTTAGTAGGAATGGATATGACTTTAATTCTTGGAAATCACGTGGATTTTACACATCAAAATCGTGCGAAAAAACAGACACACACAGAATAAAAATCGAATTATAATGATCTAAAACTGATATATTCTTCGTATATATTCCCCACATATTTTTCTAGTTGTTGGTATTAATCCTATGAGTTGAGAAGGGGGTAGGGAGTATAAGGGCGACTACCCAGAACGAAGGCAGCCGCGGTTCCCCTAATCGGCGGCAGCACTGCGACGAGTTCGCGCTGGAGTGTCGCGGGGGTCGGGCCCGTTGAGAAAATCGTCTGCGCTTGCTCTGGCGCAGGCGATCAGCCGGCCCACCCCCTCGAATTGGAGGAAATTCGTAGTAAGGTGTACAGCCGGTGCTTCGCTCTAACACGTTGCTGAGTTTGGCGATTTAATAAAGCTGAACTGTTTGATTAAGAATGAAGTTATAAGTGTGTTATGTAGGTCTCGGGCGAAAAGTATTAAAAGAGAAGTAAAATATTTACCTGATAATAAACTTAAATATTTACTTCTTTCCCGAAAATTTTGTGCAATTATTTTTCATATTTATATTTATTTAAGTGTATGTATGATAAGTTTTTTTCTTTTAAATAGTAAATTATTCATAAAAGAAGAAATTCTAAACTAATTCTAATTTAAATTACCTCGTTTGGATTTAAGTACGGATAAAAGTTATCGTTAGGTATTTCATGTTTCTAATAACTACTATTTGATACTTTTTCACTATTGTGAATAGGTTGAGATTCTAGTATAGGTTTTTTCTTACACGCAATCGTCGTTTACTATGTTTTTCACAATCATTTGTGAATCCGAAATTCATAGTCAGGTGCACAGTCAGTGCTTTGCTCTAACACAATCGAAAACTTAGCTCTAACACATTGGCGTTTAATAAAGTTGAACTGTTTGATTAAGAATGAAATTATACATATGTCATTTAGGTTTCTGTCGAAAACAAAAAAAATGTTAAAAGATATATAAATGTTAAAAGATATATATATAAAAGGAGTAAATATTTGAGTTTATCAGTTTGATAATAAACTCAAATATTTACTCCTTTTACGAAAATTTGGCGGATTTATTCATATTTATGTGTTTTACATTCATATTTTTATTGTACTTCTTCATATAAGTACATATATTCATAAAATATGAAATAATAAATTAATTATAAATGAAAGAAAAAGTTAATGCAACAATTTTAGTTAGTACTTTAGAAGATTAAAAAATATTTTATCAATTTAAGAATACAATGAATAATTTAAGATAATAAATATAGATGTTTAGAGCTAGAATATTAAGCAGGAATTGGGCTACTCAAAACTCAACACTGTAAACATATAAAATATAGATATTTAAAGCGAGAAAATCTGCATTAAGCAAGAATGTAGCTACTCAAAACTCAACACTGTAAACATATAAAAGGAAGATGTTTAGAGTTAGATAATCTGCACTTAGGAATGTGGCTACTTGAAACTCAACACTGTAAACATACACAACGTTTAGTTATTTTTGTACTAATAGCCTCGTGTATGAAATTAACAATACAAAAAATAATGTGGTTAAAGACAATACGAATTCATAATACCAAATTGCACTAAACCATTTCTACTGTGAAATTTTATACCGTATTTTTTACACCAATAATTATTTAACTACAGTGATTAAGTGATTTTACAATAAATGTAACTGTAAAAATTACTGTATATCAGATTTTTTTGCAATTTAAAGTAAAACGAAACTTTACGGTAAAAAGTACCAGTTCCCTGGGTTCCGGTACATTTTACCATAATTTGATCAGTGTTGAAACTGATTTAGCTTTAAAAGGCTAATCAGTAACTGATTTAGCTTTTCTTTTGTGTTGAAACTGATTTAGCTTTACACAATGAATAACTTAAAAAAGTATAGCAATTTATAGTTTGATGATTTGCATTTAAAAAGCATAAGGTTGTATTGCATATTTAATTGTACGTTCATTTGATTCTCTTTTCATTTTTCAACTATCTGCAAATATTAGCACATAACATGAACCAAAAAGAACTTCATCACTTCAAATTAAACTCAATCTATTATAGCTTTCATTTGTTGAATAAAACGTAAATTCTAAAAACACTGACTGTTGAATGGAGTGCGTATAAAGTTTAATATAACTTTAATCATACATATTTACTTTAATTATTTACAAAAGATACCTTCAGCAACTATATCGAAGAACAAAAATACGAATTATCGAGCGTTAAATATTAATTAAAGTACGGAATTAGGCATAAAAATCTACTTTTTCTGAAAGAAACATACGCTTTTTGGGGCGAATTTGAATTTATTTATGAAACCCATTTTGACCTAACGTGGCATAGATATCCTTCACATGAATTGTGAGTATTCTCCTGAAAGGATTGTTTTCACATCAAGCAAATGTTCTTTATTCTTTTCAAAAATCAAGTAGCAGATAAAGAAAGATATAATGAATAACAGCATATTTAGATTTTTAAAAGTTTGTAGCTAAGTATTTTCAGAAAATTAATTTACTTATTAACTCGATTATATTCTTAAAATAACATTTATCTCTGCAAATTTCTCGCTAAATGAATTTTTAAAAGTTCAAATATGATTTCAAAACGTATAGAAAAACAATGTTACTTTGTTTACTTTCATCAATTAGGAACATAAAAAGTTTCAGAAAACAGGCAACAATTTACAAAATAAACTTTTCCATTCAAAATCCCTTTTTTAAAGACTTGGTAGAGAAATTAACATTCTAAGAGCTTGCTAAGCATGTCTTAGAATGTTACCTTACTTCATTTTAAAAATTATTTTCAAATATATACGTCAAATGTTTATGCATATTCAAAAGTAATTTAATTATACTCTATAATTAAGCCACCAAGCACTATTTTTAGAGACCACACCATCACAATGTTAATGTGAATACTCTTCACCACACATTTTTTAAATATTTCTTTTTGTTTAAAAATATTTCTAAGATAATTTATGTATATTAAAACAAAAAGTTATGGTAATAAATGAGATTTGTTTGAAAAATAAAAAATTTTGATATTTATATATATTTTTTATTAGTTGCGAAGGCGAACAACATTACTCACGTCACACTGCCGAAGGCACCCTTTCATAGGGTGGGTCATATTCACACATCACACAAAGAAGACAACACACAGAGAGAAACAGCCATGCCCCGAGCGGGATTTGAACCCGCAAGCATTGGCTGTAGTCAGGTACGCTAACCGTTCGGCCACCTGGCCGGCAAAATAAAATTTATAATCAGTGTAAAATTTTAAGATAATGATTTTTATACTCAATTTAGTAATTATCTTTTGAGAAATCAAAATAGCTCACTCATCCCAAAAATTTAGTTCATCTTTCTTTTTTTTTTTTTTTNTTTTTTTTTTTTTTTTTTTTTTTTTTTTTTTTTTTTTTTTTTTAATAGAAGTTGTTGCTTGCAAGGTATTTTTCTCTCTTAAATAAAACAATCTGATTATTTTCGCTTTATTTTATTTTTACTTTACTTAATTTCAAAGAATTAATACATAGTTTTTTTTTTAATATTGAACAAGTATTAGGGAAATTTCTGGTAAAAAATCTACAGAGAAAATTTTACATTTTGTTAAACGTACAATGTTCTGCCCTTCTAGCAGCGATTCTACTATCTATGATAAATAAGTTTCTTAATTATATTCAGTTTTATAGTTTTGAGTTAATATACGTATAACAAAATAAAATTTTCAGCATTTTTTATATTTACATGCGTGAAGGACTCTCTTCTTATTTTCCACAAACATAGACTTCTTATAAGAGTAACTGTTATACATCATGATTAAAATACGGTATGGGTAGTTGTTTTAATATAGTAGAAAAACAATTCAAGATCAGTGTCTTAATGTTTTTCATAAATTATTTACAGCATTAAAGAAATTTTTTAAAAATAAAAATTACAAAATTATATCCTAACCAACAAAAATTGTATTTAGCTAAAGATTTATAAAAATGTAAAAAGGAATGAAGTTAAACTGAAAAAAAATTAAAAAAAAAAAAAAACGAAGTTAAAAATGAACAATTTTAAAAAATCTGCTTATTGAAATGATATGTTTGAATTTTAGTACAAGATTAAATTAAAGTGCATAAAATTAAAAAAATAGCAATTTGAATTTGTAAAAAAAAAAGTTGATTTTTAACACCTAGGAATAAACGAATAATAAATTCATAACTAATATTAGACTGTATTCATGATTAGAATCGACAATTGAGTAGAACAGTTAGTGATTACACTGTAATTTTGTTCCAATATTTGTCTTAAACATTTGAACAATAAACATTCATTTATTCCTAACTAAACATTTTCTAAAACTGATAATTTATCTAAAAACGTTACTGATTCTTATAATTTTTATATAAAAATTAAAATCATTATTGATGTCAGTTATTGATTTATATTGAGAGAAAGGTCTAAATTACTTTGTTAAGCCTAAAAATATTCATAATAATTAAAAATGTGTAGCTTCTTTTTCACGAATAAAGTAAATCAATAATCTTTTCCTTTCAAAATGATTATATTTTATATAAAATAATACATTAATGTTTCATAAATACTTATAAATATTCTAAAATATAATGAAAGAATGCATTTTTAATAATTTATTAATTCCTCCGTTTACTGAAAATAACATTTAAACTTATGGACTGGAAATAAATTGCAGTATATTCCGAAATAAATGGTTTAACCATGACTAGACTAATGATTTATTCATGACTACAGTTAGTCAAGTTTAGCTTAGTTGACTATTATTATCATGGTAATAAAAGAAAGATTATTCTACTTAGTTATTACTTGAGTAAATTATAACGATATAAAATATGATCTGCAGATTTAAGGGATATTAATTATGATCTGAAGCAAAAATATTTGTATTATTTATGAAGCTAAAAATATGGTATTGTTATAAAAATGGAAGGATAATATTAAAGTATTATGTACAAAATAGACGTGCGTATTAAAAGATATTCTCAATTTTAGAAATTTTTGATAGAAAAAGCAGTTTTAAAAACCGGCTTGTGAAAACAATACAGCTTTGTGAAACTTATATGGTGTGAAAAACGTACACAGTAAATATTATAAGCAATGACAGTAAACATTGTATAAGAAAGTAAACATAATATTTTATAGTTTTTTTTCTAAAATCTTTTAGAAGAATTAATAATGTAAAATTAATAGAGTTT